ACTCAATTAAGAGCAAACTTTTCAAATTGCCTCGCGTCCTTTAATAATTGCTTTTAGGTGAAAAATGAAAATCGAGTCTTTCTTTTTGACCCCGTTGATTTCTTTAAATTAATTAACTGCATGAAATTTTTTCAAGTTTTATTAAAATTTATTACTAAAAAATGCGCTTAGAAGTTTCACTACATCACGTTGCAAACGATCGAAATTATTTTCTACATTCAAATTATTCAAGACGGTGATGCAAATAATTCTGAGGAAGTTTCTCAACTCTGTACGACTTTCCCTTCTTCGTTAATTGACGTAATAGGCAAATGAAGATCTTTAAAGAATGAGCCATGAAATTAGCTCAGGAAAGTTGGCTTTTCAGTAAATCGATTTCTGAATTTTTTTTTACCAACGTGAAAAATATTGTATTTTTCTCTTCACAATGGACAGATCCTGACGTACGTCACGAGATCATGGAGCCAATCTATCTGGTATTATCTGGGATCTCGCGTCTCTCGATGTGACACACTCCCGGGAGGAGATATAATCAGAATGCATTATGCAACACAGGTATTGTCCATAAAGGGAGGCAGCGGCTCGTTCGGCGGGAGGTAGCAGGAAGTGCTTAACCCACGTTTAAGCACCTCTCGCATCTCTCGCTCCCGTGTCATTTAGCGGCTTTAATGGCACTCATGCAAAACCCTTCATCCGCAATGGAGGATCCTAATTGCTCCGGTTTCCATGCGCGCTTTCTGTGCCACAGACTCGCCATCTATAATAATTACGCCCGTCCCTTTGTGCGTGCATAGTGCATGGACCACAGAATTACTCTCCGGTGCTATGAGCTATCGATTTTCGGCGAAAGCGCTGTGGGAATATTTTGTGAATGTTAGTAAACATCTTTCTACCGTAAACTGCGAATATTTACTCTTGCGAGGATTAATTCGATGAAATTAACGATAGTGGTAAAAGACGCGTCTACTGGATGTTATTATATGAAAAAATGGCAAATATGCGTTGAGAGAAAAAAATTGTTGCAATTATCGTAATTTGAGGTCACTTTTGGGGAAACTATATATTTATATAAAATTTGAATAAACTACTTATGTAACTATATGTTTATAATAGTTTTAACTATGCAAATATAGCCAATTGTACTACAATAATTTAGCCACACACTGCTTAGAAATCTTTAATTCTTCCTAACATATTTTTTATTTTTAAGTTATTATTAAATAATAAGCAAAGTTAAAAAAATAATTATATTCACTATGTTCACAATTGCACTTACTAAATAAAAATGTTTATTTTATTTTTTTTTATCTTGATATTTTATTATTTTAATATTTGAAATTATCATAACTTATAATACAATTTTTTCATGTTTGAGAGAACTACACATATAAGATTACTATTACTAGCAGTAATAACCATAATTTTGTATATGCAATTATAGTCGTGAAATATCAGACACTTTTCTGTCTGTAATTTCGTTTTGAATAATTATTAGACAGCTGTATAATTGATGCTATACAGAAAATACGAGATTATATTAAAAGCGTTAGCGACAGTAGTCTAATTGAAAACAATCTTGCTAATGACAGTATTAATTAAACAAATACGCCATATGCTCTTATTTTAATAAAATGTCACTAAATTCGTATCTATTTATTTGTCATTTATTTCATTAATATTGTTATTAATTAAACAAGATAATTTTTATTAGACTGCTGTTGGCTAATGCTGCCTCTAAATTCTTTGGAGTAGAATCTTACTTTGAAAAGTGAAAATTGAGCCCTCTTGAAAAAGACCGGCTCAGTTTTCAATCTTTAAGAGTAGAATTCGACGTGATTCAGAGATTCACTCTACAAGTTTTGGAGAGAATACAGCATCATTTTTTCGTGTACAATTTCTTTATTTGAATAAATATTGTTTGAGAAGTGTTGACTTTTAAGAATAAGAAAATTAATGGTAATGCAAATCGCATCTCTGTCTCAGTCAAAACCGAAGGGAATAACAGTGTCAGCGAATCATGGGAAACAAATATCTAACTAATAGATTACTCGGTTAGTCATACGTTACGTTGATACGCGAAACGCTTGCACACGAACGTGTACGCACGTACACGCATAATATGTATGCTCGCACGGCTCAACAATAACTGGTTAGAGTCTTTCAAGGTGCTTCTACATTCAGGCCAAATGGATAGAAATATTTCTGTCGTGTAATTTTCCACCTCGATGCCATGCAACTTTATTTAGCACCGAAGAATTCGGTATAAAAATTGTATGAAATCTTTAGAAAAATAAAAAATTTACAAAATACAGCGAAAAATATTAAACATCTTATTTATTATTGATTAAAGTTTTGAGACTTAAACAAATGGATTTATAGTATTTACTGTAAATAATCCTTTGTTTCACGAATTAAACTGATGTATAACGCTGGTAACAATGTAAGTAAAAGAATTCCAG